CCATTTTCTCCAGGGGCACCTATTTCTGTCTGCTGGAGGCCGGTCGTAATTCTGGAAGAACTTCAGGCCCCACCGGGAGGTCGCTAGCCCCTGGAAGGCACCAGTTTTGCACCTCCCTGTAAGCGGGATTGGGGGGTGGGTGGGATCGGATAATGCCTCCCGGTACCAGAAAGGTTAAATGTATGAATCTTCGAGATTCGTGTTGCTGGTCATCTCAATTTGCAAGCAAACAAACAAGAAGCAGGCCCTTTTCCCGGTTGGAGGAGTAAAAAAGGGGGGCTTTGGGGGAAGGGAGCTCCCGCCTGCACTGGCAATCGACCGCGGGCCCCATCCGGAGACCCAGATGTGTTCCCAGTTGTGGGGCCGGGGATGCCAGCTGGGGTCCAAGCAGAGGGCAGGGAGATCTTTTTTAAAAATCGGTTGTGAAGGGGCAGAGAGCAATGCCAGCAAAGATCAGAGAAACACCCAACCATCACAGCAAGAGGCAACTCCCCTCTGATAGGCAGGGGGGAGTTCATGCTGATGTGCCTGCACCCCCTGGTATCAGCAGGGGTCATTTCCTGCAGGAGGGCACAGAAGCAGAGCTCCGGCAGTAAAGAGCCCAGGGGGGCGGGCACATGCAACAAGCTCCACCCCCTGCTCCCACAACAGCCCTCAGTCAGAGCAAGAACCAGCCAGGTAAGTGGCAGAGCCCCCTGGCCCAAAACAGTCCAGTGGCACCTTTGAGACCAAATTTTATTCAGGTACAAGCTCTCCCTCCTCTGCGAGGACAGATCTGCACGTTTCCCCCCCCCCCCCAATAGCTAGCAATCCAAAACAGTCCAGTGGCACCTTTAAGACCAAGTTTTATTCAGGTACAAGCTCTCCCTCCTCTGCGGGGACAGATCTGCACGCCCCCCCCCCAATAGCTAGCAATCCAAAGCAGTCCAGTTGCACCTTTAAGACCAAGTTTTATTCAGGTTCAGGAAGGCGGGCGGGGGGGGGGGCTCTGCAACTTACCTAGCTGCTTCTTGCTCCTCATGGCCCAACTGAGGGCTGCTGGGAGCAGGGGGCAGGGCTTGTTGCATGTGCCCGCCCCCTGGGCTCCTTACTGCCGGAGCTCCGCTCCTGTGCGCTCCCAGAGGAAATTACCCCTGCTCTTGTCCTTTTTGGGTTTCCCTTAAGAATTAGCCCCAGGACAGACCGAGCCAAGGTAATGAGAGGCTTAGCTTGTTAACATCCTTAAAGAGCCAAACAGAGACATTTAACGTTCCCCAAGAACCATGGAGGCAAATCTAAAATAGCATGCTTTGTAATATAGAAAAATGTTATTAACTCTGGTTCACAAGCCACAAAAGCCCTTTTGTTCTGATCCACCGGGGCGATTCTCATGTGTCTCCTGAGCATACGAAGGTGTGTGATGTTCACTGATGTATCTCCATTATCTTCTCTTTTCCAGGTGACTGTCTGTGTGTCTCCTTCCCACCAGAGAGAAGCCTGTCTTCACAGGCAAGTGAATTCAGGCATCGTTTCACAGATGGAGGTATCTCAATAGAAGGGGCAGGAGATGGAAGAGCAGGACCCAGAAGGACCTGGAACTGGCAGGACAACAAGGAAAGGTCCCCATCTCACCCAAGCGGGGAGTGGTGTTGAATTCTGGGAAAGCTCGGGGCCGGGGCTAGATATCTGTTATCAGCACACTGCAATCTCAGATGTCCATCGCCGACGCTTCCGGCAGTTCCGCTACCACGAGGCTGCTGGGCCCCGGGAGGTTTGCAGCCAGCTCCATGGACTTTGCAGCCAGTGGCTGAAGCCGGAGAAGCACACCAAGAAGCAGATCCTGGACCTGGTGATCCTGGAGCAGTTCCTGACTCTCCTGCCCCAGGAAATGCAGGGCTGGGTCAGAGGATGTGGGCCGGAGACCAGTTCCCAGGCGGTGGCCCTGGCGGAAGGATTCCTTCTGAGTAAGGCAGAGGAGAAGAGGCAGGCAGAACAGGTGAGGGGTTTTTCTCCAGGTATGTACTAGAGAATTTCTTATCCCTCCAGATAACTCACCAGGTCTGCTAATGGAAGGGTACGGACTCTGGGAGTGGGGAAAGATCCATTCCTTGGTCTGTTTTCCATTCCATCTCTTACCCCTCTCCCTTGCTGCTGCTTCAGATGGGGACACCATGCGTAAAGAAAGAAGTTGCATTCCCTGAGGCGGAAGGAGCTTCCTTGGAGCAAGGGCAGAGCGCGCAGGACCAGGAGCGTGCCCAAGATGCCCTCTCCTGTGGTAAGGACTTGTTCCTGGATGCGATTGGGGCACCCGCGTGATTTTGATGGGTGGGGAGTTCAGGTCAGGAAAAGAATGAAATACTTCTTCCCTTAACACACAGCATTCAGTGTCCACTAACTGTGATGCCTCTCGAAGGGGATTAGATAAATTCGTGGAGGGCAGTTCATAGAATCATAGAGTTGGAAGGGGTCTCCAAGATCATCTAGTCCAACCCCCCACACAATGTAGGAAATTCACAAATCCCCCACACACCCCCAGTGAGCGCTGTTCCATACCCAGAAGATGAAAAAAAAAACCCTCCGTATCCCTGGCCAAACCGGCCTGGAGAAAAATTGCTTCCTGACCCCAAAGTGTCAATCAGCATTTCCCTGGGCGTGTAAGAAAGGGCCACAAGAACTAAGCACTGAAGCTACCCTTCCTGTCCTCCCTCTCTTGATCTGCCTAAGTTCACAAAATCAGCATTGTTGTCAGATGGCTGTCTAGCTTCCGTTTGAAAACCTCCAGAGAAGGAGAGCCCACCACCTCCCGAGGAAGCCTGTTCCACTGAAGAAGAAGAAGAAGAAGAGATTGGATTTATACCCCGCCCTTCACTTGGAGTCTCAGAGCGGCTTACAAACTCCTTTCCCCTCCCCTCCCCACAACAGACACCCTGTGAGGTGGGTGGGGCTGAGAGAACTCTGTCACAAACTGCTCTTTTTCAAGGACAGCTGTGCCAGAGCTTGTGACTGACCCAAGGTCACATCAGCAGGTGCAAGCGGAGGAGTGGGGAATCAAACCCGGTTCTCCCAGATTAGAGTCCGCACACTTCACCACTACACCAAACTGGTGAACCGATCTAACTGTCAGGAAGTTCTTCCTAATGTTTAGCTGAAAACACTTCTGATTTAATTTCCACCCGTTGGTTCTGGGCTGACCTTCTGGGACAACAAAAAAACCAACTCCGTACCATCCTCTATATGACAGCCCTTCAAGTCCTTGAAGATGGTTGTCATATCAGCTCTTAGTTGTCTCCTTTCCAGACTAAATATACCCAGCTCCTTCAACCGTTCTTCAAAGGGCTTGGTCTCCAGACCCCTCACCATCTTTGTTACTTTCCTCAGTTTGGTGTAGTGGTTATGTGCGCGGACTCTAATCTGGGAGAACCGGGTTTGATTCCCCACTCCTCCACTTGCACCTGCTGATGTGACCTTGGGTCAGTCACAAGCTCTGGCACAGCTGTCCTTGAAAAAGAGCAGTTCCTGTCAGAGTTCTCTCAGCCCCACCCACCTCACAGGGTGTCTGTTGTGGGGAGGGGAAGGGAAAGGAGTTTGTAAGCCGCTCTGAGACTCCAAGTGAAGGGCGGGGTATAAACCCAATCTCTTCTTCTTCTTCTTCTCTGGACACGTTCCAGCTTGTCTATATCCTTCTTAAATTGTGGGGCCCAAAACTGATCACGATACTCTAGGTGAGGTCTAACCACAGCAGAGTAAAGTGATATCATCACTTCACGTGATCTGGACACTCTATCTCTGTTGATACAGCCCAAAATTGCATTTGCCTTTTTAGCTACCACCATCACACTGCTGACTCATGTTCATTTTGTGGTCTACCAAGACCCCTGGATCCTACTGCCAAGACAAGTCTCCCCCATCCTATAATTATGCATTTGATTTTTCCTACCTATATGCAGAACTTTATATTTATCTCCGTTGAAATTCATTTTTTTAGCCCAGTTTTCCAGCTTGTTAGGATGGCCCAGTATCCTGACTCTGCCTTCTATCGTATTTGTTACCCCTCTCAATTTAGTATCATCTGCAAATTTATAAGCATCCCCTCTATTCCTTCATCCAAATCATTTATGAAGATGTGGAACAAAACAGGTCCCAGTGTTCCCTCTAAGCTGAGTTAGTGTGAGCTAGCTCGCAGTTTTTTAGCCTCCGGCTCACACATTTTTGTCTTGGCTCAGGAAGGAGGGCTCCAGTGCAAACTAACTTATGCAGTAGCCGAATCGCTCGCTCACAACTTTAATGCCAGTAGCTGACAAAGTCGAATTTTTGCTCACAAGACTCCGTGGCTTAGAGGGCGCATTGCTGATGCACTCCACTTGTCCCTCGTCTCCAAGAGGATGAGGAACCATTCACAAGCACTCTTTGCATGTCATCTGTCAGTTCCTCCAATTAATTAAAGTCTTCGCATCTCACCTTCCTTCCAGTTTGGTGTAGTGGTTAAGTGCGTTGACTCTAATCTGGGAGAACCGGGTTTGATTCCCCACTCCTCCACTTGCACAGGCTAGATGACCTTGGGCAAGCCGTACTTCTGATAAGAGCTGTCCTTGAAAAAGAGCCGTTTCTCTCAAGAGCTCTCTCAGCCCCACCCACCTCACAGGGTGTCTGTTGTGGGGAGGGGAAGGGAAAGGAGTTTGTCAGCCGCTCTGAGACTCTGAGTGAAGGGCGGGGTATAAATCCAATCTCTTCTCTTCTTCTTTTTTAAAAAATATATAAAGGTTGCGGTTTGGCCACCCTTGCCCTAGACGTTCCAGATGTGCACCAGTCACGTCTGGATTTGGGCCCGAATGTGATCGTGATCGATTCTACACCCCCCCTCTGTTTCCCCTGCCAGCCCGGACTCAGGGGCGCATGAGAGGGCTGAGCCGGAAGGAGACTGGGATTCTCTGGGCTTTTGGTCCGATCCAGCAGGGAGACTGTAGCCTTTGGAGCTCCAGAGTTCACAGGGGCACCTTTTGAGTCTCAGAGAGGTCTGAAATACGTTGGCAGCATTTATGACTCCCGTAGCTCATGGGTACATGGTGCTTCTCTTCTGCCTCTCCCAGAATTTAGTAAAAAGTGTAAAAGACTGTGTTGAATGTACATTGGGTGAAGTTTCAAACTTCTGGGAAGGGGGTGCGTGAAGCAGGGAAGAAACGATCAAATGGAATAGGAAGTCGCAACAAACACCCTTCCTTCCTCCTTTCTCTTCCTAACAGGCAGTGGAGAGATGCAGTTGAGCCGTCGTCTTTCTGTAGGGGTAGAAACGGCTGCTGCCCCTCCTGTCCAGGTAGGGGATCTGAGCGGGGCACGGCCTGGGTTCCCCCTCTTTTCTCAGGGGGGCTTTTGCTTCTGCAGTCTCTACAAGGTGTCTGGGCGAGAGAGGCTCTGAACGCCACTCCCTTTACCCATCCCAAGTCTGACATCCTGTCCCCTCCCAGACTACTTCCTTCCAGGGTGCCGTCTCTGCTTGACTTGACGTGATCTCTGACGAGGGAATCTGCTTTTCCTTTCAGTCTCCATTTTCCTTCGAGGAGGTGGCTGTGTATTTCACCGAGGCGGAGTGGGCCCTGCTGGATCCGGGCCAGAGAGCTCTCTACCGAGAAGTCATGCTGGAGAACTACGGGACCGTGGCCTCTCTGGGTAAGGGTCTTCCATGGGTGCCCAAGGTGTGAATTTCTGCCATTGGGATGAGCTGTGAATCAAATTGTTGAACAGCAACACATTGTTTTGATGTCTGTCCGGCTACTTGCCCAGGGGCAACTGAGGCCACAGTGATGGCCATCACCCAAGCCAGAGGAGGTGTCCTGGCCTGAGGCAAAGGTGGGGACGAGAGACCCTCAGAAAGACTCTGGAAGGGGCCTGATCCTCATTGCTCTGTTGCCAGCCTTTACCACACACCCTTCCCCCTGGATGGGACCAGGGGTCGTTTTGTAGAAAAAGAAGTGCAGGAGCTCATTAGCATAACTCACTAGCATAACTTATTTGCATATGCCACACCCCCTGACATCACTGGAAGTGTGTCAGAAGGCAACACCCACCGGTCAGGCTCCACTGGACTGTTTTGGATTGTTAGCTATTGGGGGGGGGAGACGTGCAGATCTGTCCTCACAGATGAGAGAGAGCTTGTACCTGAATAAAACTTTGTCTTAAAGGTGCCACTGGACTGTTTTGGATTGCTAGCTATTGGGGATGGGGCGGAATGTGCAGATCTGCCGTCACAGAGGAGAGAGAGCTTGTACCTGAATAAAACTTGGGTCTTAAAGGTGCCACTGGGCTGTTTTGGATTGCTAGCTATGGGGGGGGACGCGCAGGTCTGCTCTCGCAGAGGAGGGAGAGCTTGTACCTGAATAAAACTTGGGTCTTAAAGGTGCCACTGGGCTGTTTTGGATTGCTAGCTATGGGGGGGGGACCCCGGATCTGCCCTCACAGAGGAGGGAGAGCTTGTACCTGAAGGCGGACCGCAGGGGGGCTCTGCAACTTACCTGGCTGCTTCTTGCTCCTCGTGGCCCGACTGAGGGCTGCTGGGAGCAGGGGGCGGGGCTTGTTGCATGTGCCCGTCCTCTGGGCTCCTTACTGCCGGAGCTCCGCTCCTGTGCGCTCCCGCAGGAAATGACCCCGGATGGGACAACCAACATCCGCTCTGCCTGTGATCTGGAAATGACCCTGTCATCGACCCAAGCCTGGGTCCTCCTGGGCCACTGTACCTGAGAAGCACTCAGTTCGGTGACTTCACGGGGAGACTGCACACAAGTAAAAAAAGGCCCTTTTAAAATTATATAAAGGTTTATTACGGGCGTAATTTATTGATTTGTTTGTTCTGTTTATACCCCACCCTCACCGCCGAAGCAGGCTCAGGGCGGCTGTAAAGACAAGACATCCCTAAACGTTACAGTTTCTGCCGCTCAGCAACAGAAAAACAAGTAAAGCTAAGTGTCCCATCGAATACATGCAGGGGTCATTTCATAGAACAAGAGGTGCAGGAGCTCATTAGCATAACTCACTAGCATAACTTATTTGCATATGCCACACCCCCTGACATCACCGGAAGTGTGTCAGAAGGCAACACCCACCACTCAGGCTCCACTGGACTGTTTTGGATTGCTAGCTATGGGGGGGGGGGGAATAAGAAGATCTGCCCCACA